AACAACTGCTGCCTGTAGTTTGTTACCAGAGGGACCCAGGCCATGGAGGGCACCCCTTGGGTAAGAGTGTAAGCACCCTAGGGAAACCCATTTTATACCTCTGCTGTAACATGTCTATCCATGTCCCCTACCCACCACACAGCATTATTGTAAAGGGTTATGGTGCACAGCTGGCCACCTTGGCCCCAGCCGAGTGTTTTCTGTACTCCAACAGTGATGTGTGTTGTTTCTATTTAATAGCTAGGTCCGCCCTGGCCGGTTTGGCTCAGCGGTTAGAACGTTGGCCTGCTAACGAGACCCGGGTTCGGTTCTCGCTAAGGGTGCGTACCTTGGTTGCAGTTTGTCCCCGGCCCTGGTTGGTCGTGCGAGTGGCAGCCACTTGATGTGTCCCTTTCAAGTCGATGTTTCTCTCTGTGTCCCTCTCTCTCCCTCCCACTCTATCGGACCAAAAGATGGAAAAATGTCCTTGGGTGAGGATTAAAAAAAAAGCCAGGTCCATTGCCAGCTAATGTGCCAACCTTGTCTCACTACTGACCTCAGCTGCACAAGATAAGGAAGGTCAGGGAAAAAGGGAGAGAAGAAGAGGAGAAACATCAGCAGCTTGTTACCTATGTGGATGATTCTGAAAAGAATCTTTGGTCTCACAGAAAAAGGGCCTGGATGTTAGGCAGGACACCAATCTGCATAATGGTCATGTGTCCCAGGGCTTGTTGAGTTACAGATAGCCAGACATAGGTGACATATGCCCTGCTAGCCTGCTTACTGTGTCCCCACTGGGACCCTTGGTAGGAGGGTAGGCCTTTATATCCCAGGAGTGTGCCTCTGTGTGCTGCACTATGGAATGAAGGTGCCCTGCATCATGTGAGGATTGGCTGCTCTACAGCAACGAGCCCTGTGGCTTCTCCTATCAGACATGACTTATAAAGTCATTTCCTTTGTATAGGGCTGGGTTGCCGAATCACACTGCATAGCACTATCAGAGCTGGGGCATGGGGGTCTGTAGAAATGACCACATCCCTGGAGACCAAGGAGCAACACAATTACCTTTGCCCGCCGGAAGGCCAAGGGCCTTTCTGTTCAGCCACACTCCTCAGGTTCCCGTTCACATCCAGGTTTCCTCCAATGCTGGTGGCCCAGTGTGTGCAAGCAATGATGGTGCTCCCACAGGGCTATGGCTGGGAAGGGGCCTCCAGAGACCTCAACAAGAAGCTCAAGACAGGTGTTAGCTTACTATTGGGTACTTTCTCTACCTCTCCACAGGCCCACTGGGTCTCAGTAAACAAGAGTGGTGTTCTGGAGCCTGGCAGTGAGAATAGTCTTTAGAGTCCTTGCACAAAGGCAACCAGGAGAGGTGCCAGGTGCAGGAGAGACACAATTTTGTAGTCACAGAATGAATTTTAGTGACTGATCCAAGGTGTGGGACTGAAATTTTTCATAAGATGGTCTTGTCTGGCAAACAGGAGACCCAAAGAGTCTTTTTATCTATGACCAATATGTTCCATTTTCTGTTGGTTTTATTTAAATCTGCCCACTCCTATTTGTGCAAAACTGCATTTAAAAAAACAAAACAAAACAAAAAACCTAGAGGTTGATACTGTGTCCTGTTAAAGTTTAAGTCTGTTTTATTGACAACAGTGTTTTAACTAACTCATCTTCATTACTAAGTGGTTTTATTAATACTTGCAAAGCTTGTCAAGTAGAAGGGGCTCACTACCACACCCCTCTTCAGGAATGGAGATTTAATAAACCTCAGGGCCCCAAAAAATTATCTTATCAAGACAAAGAAACATGTGGTCTGTGTATCACTTAAATCATGTCTCTAAACTGACTTAGATTCCCATTAGGAAATGACACACCTCAGCCTTGAGCCACTGGACTCGAGGAGTGTGGGGCTCTAGGCCCCTCAAAACCACTTCACTGCTCCCCTCCACACCCAATGAACCTTTACGAACCTTCCTGTCCCAGTCATGTCCTCAGTTCCCTAGTTTGTCTGAAGCCTCAGACCCCTTCTTAGGCCCAAGCCTCCAGCTGAGCTCACTCGGGGACTGCCTAGGGCATAGGGCCTTCAGGACTCTGTTGCTGGGGCTCCCATAGGGCCAGAGGAGAAGGAAAAGACACTGGGGTGGGATGGCCTGGGGGTAGGGGCTGGCTCAGCTTTTTTAGGAGTCTCAAAGTGGGAGTCTAGAGAAAGTTCACCCTCAATTCAACCTCCTCCCCTATCCCATTGACAACTATCCATTTGTCAATGTTGTGTTCTTGCAACCATGGATTTTTCTGTGAGTATGCATTTTAAATATGCATCAAGTGCTGTTTTAACTTTCTTTTGTCTCAGCACTGTGCCCTCAGCCCTACCCAGTGGCAGAGTCCAGCTCCTGTGTCTGTTGGGCCTTCTCCATGGCTTCCATCCCCCACTTGACCTTCCACTTTCCCCAGTGAGGTACACTTGCTTCCCCATCTTCTGCAACCTCATACAGGTACACCCACATGTGCATTCCCTGTAGGCCTGGAGAGGACTATGATGGGAACATCAGAGAGAAGGGTCCCTGGTTCCAGGGTCATTATGCCCTAAATCAGATAACATCTGGCAGCTATGCTACAGAACTCAGCAGCAGAGCAGAACCAGGAGCAGGTATGTGACTTCTCCAGCTGAACATGTTTGATCCTCTCTCCCTGGGCTTCTAGCTCCTGTTCTCACCTGCTTGTCCATGCTATTCTTTCAGCTGCTCTGGGCTCTTCCTGATTTGTAGGAGTTCCCTGCACAGTCTTGCTGTGAACCACTGCAAATATCTGCTGCTGCATCTGTCTGCTACTCTGGCCCGGGAACCCTTGAAAAGGCATTTTTTATAAGCCCGACCACCTCCCCTGTGGAAACAATTCCAAGCACCAGCCTGTCCACTGGTGGCAGTAAAGCAATGGCAGCCACTCCTGAAAAACCACTGTGGGTAGTTCTTGTGTTCTGTGACCCCACTTACCAAGGGCAGAGCTGCAGGGGACACTCTACCACCAATGACCAGAGGATGGGCATCAGCCCACGGGTCTGCAGAGGAGCCTGCCCCACCTCCCCCGCAAAAAGCACCCATGCCTCTAGGTCAGGTCGGTAGCCCATTAACCTGTTCCTTCTCCTCATAATAAACCATCATCATGAGCAAATGGTGTTCAGTGAGCTCTGGGAGTATTTATAGTGAATTCTCAAGTCCCAAGGGGTTTATGGGAAACCCTAGAATTTGCACACAGTGTGGGAAGCAAGGCTAATCTTGGGAACTGATTCCCCCTAACTTCCTGATGGTCCGACTCCCACACATATTTAGTTTGACCTTCAGGGTGTTCTCTCAAATGGTGGCACCAGTCTACACCTCACATGGAAGACTGACTTACACTTTGTGGTCACCAGGGTTTCTGCCTGGAGCAGCTCACCAGTGTTTCCACATGCAAGTCTCAGAAGGCATCAGTATCTCCTCATAATATGATTCATAAACACCTCATTGAGTGTGAAATGATCCTCAGCATTTATCTCTGCTCCCCTTGGACTAAGGATCTGAAATTGAATATGGGCCGTAGTTCCCAAATACAACGTTCCCACTGAGCTCTGATAAGGACAAGTAGAGTGACTGTATCTCAGTACTGAATATATGAACCCATAAATAGGCTGTCACAGAGCTCGCAAGGAGGAGCTGTGAGGGGGCAGCCCAAGTCAGGGCTCCCTACTGGAGCAACTTCCTCCTGGGTCTCCCAGAGTCTGGAAGAGGCCAGAGGGCTCTCCCATTACTGACCCCTGATATGAGGAGTCAGGATTATTTATTAAGGTTATTTGGCCAAAGTCATTCAGTTCGATAACTCTGTCTCTTTTCTGATATACAACTTCTCTGCCAGTCATTCTTATATAGACAGCAAAGATGTCCACCATTGTCCGAAAGAAAGTGAACCTGTACTGGTAGACCTTGTATCTCTCCCCAGACCCCAGTACCACTTGGCACCACATTTCTGGGCTGCACCTGTCTCCAACTGAGAGGGGAAGAATAGGCAGGCCTCCCAGAGGGCATCTGAGGCTCAGTCCACAGGAGTCTGGGCCAGCTCCTCAATGTCACTTGGCCAGAGGCTGGAGGTGGGGGCCTAGCAAAGAGAAGTGCCACCTAAAAAGGTCCCACCCAATCATGGGGCACTGGAGGAGACAGAGGGAGGAGGGATGTGAGCAAACCTTGATCCAGGCTCCAGCAGTGCCAACTGCAAACTGACAAACTCGAGCCGGTGGCACCCAGGTCTAAGAAGCTTTGTCCAGAAATGGCCCGTTGATTACAAAGCCGCTAGAGTTCAGGGCAACTCACAGCCCAAGCAATTCTAAATATGTCAGTGCCAATGCACTTGGACCCCTTGTCCTGTCACTGTGTGGCATTTTTGTCCCTTGAACTCACCTATATAATGACACTGCCATTAAGTCACAGGTTTTGCTAAATTTATCTATGGGAAGAACTATGTAGCAAGGGAAGCATGGGGAACAGTGAGACTGATAGCATGCCTCCCCTGCTCCTAAGAAACGATGATGGAGAAGTGAGCACAGCCAGCACACACACTGTGAGATAAAGAACACAGAGCATGGTGAGGTGCATGGAGGAACTGACTTCCCAGACCCATGAGAATCTAAGGGCCATTACTCACACAGAAATTAAGTTGTGGGTGGTTTGTGGAGAACACAAGTTGTCAGGGCCTCGAGCAGGAGTGGCAGGTTGACTTACCAGCCCAACTTCCCCATCTGGGCACCCTGTGTCTCCCTTCAATGATCACCCCAAATTGAACCTTAACTCCTGTGCTCAATGCACAGGAGTTATTGAGCCTGGGTAGAACAGGCCCATCATGGGCAGTTTTTAAAGGGGGCAGGTACCAGGTCTGGACAACCAAGCCACCCAGCAGCTGTGATGACAACTGTCATGGAGACTCCAGGCAGATCTAAAGAGATTCAGTGGCAGCAATAACAACTTTATGAAGAGACAGAACAGGACACACTGTGGTTACTGATGCCTCCCCACCATTTCAGGTCTCCACAGTGAGGCTGGCTTTTATAGCCCAGAAACATGAACCCCCGAGGAAAATAAACACCAACACTGCCAAGGGGACAACCCAAAGTGGCATCTACGGTACGAAGTCCAGTCTACACCTAGATGAAGACCCTCCGGGGTCCTGAAGGAGACGAATGGAGGAGCTTCTGGGGGCTGGGTCAGGGTCGAGCCAGCTTCCTCTGCCTGGCATCACTGCAGAGAGAGACAGGGAGAGACAAAGAGGGAAGTAGAGGAAGGAGCTGCTATCCTGAAATCCAGGTGACCATGCTCTAGTAAGCCTCCCATAATCATCACCCAAAACCACCACCTACTAGGAACTGATAACAAGTATTCCCTGAGTGAAATGATACTTCTAGGCCCAAAGAAGGGAAGGATGGGGCTGCTGGCTCAGGATCAGGAGTACAAAGAACCAGCAAGGACTCAGACAATAGCATATGAGGACATGTAGGATGAGGATCAGATGGCCATCACCCTCCTAGGGGTCCCTGTGCTCCTGGACCAATAGCCAGCTCCTGCCTGCAGAGTGCTAGAGTATGACAGGGGCCTGGTACTTCAATATCAGGGTGCAGCCCTCCCTCACAAAACATCACCAGTAACATGGAAGCTGTGGAGTCTGCTGGACTACTCATTCCTGAAATTCAGCCCCAAACAAAGGCCAAGCTTGGCCTTAAACCCTCCCTTAGTAGCTTAAGGCCTTCAAGATAAGACCAGGGCCCACCTGAAGCAGCATGCTGAGGCCCAGGTTGCGGTGCCTCCACTCCAGCTCCAACAGGGATTGCAGGAAGGACCTGAACCTCTCTGCAGGGTCAGCATCCTCATCCTCGGGGGACCCTTCCTCTTTTTCCACCTCCTGCAGGAAGCGCTCCTCCTCCTCCACAAAGAAAGCCCGAAGCTTCTTGTAATCGGTCAGGGCCTTCTTCCTGCGGTCCATCACATGTCCCTGTAGGGCGGCGGCAGATAAGGGCACCTGTGTCCTCAGGCTGCACCCAGGACCCCAGCCCCATGCAGAACCACCTCAAGGAGGAGGTTTGCTACAGAGGCTTCAGCTCCATCCCAAGGCCCTGCCAGACAATCAGAGTACATACCCATGTCCCCTCATTCCCGAGGACCCAGGTCCACTCCCACTTGCCTTCCACACAGCCGCAGCAGACTCGGCTTGGCCATGCAGGTCCCGAGCATCATTCAGATCTTTCCTCATGATCTCCACAGACCCCTTATTCTCCTGGGAAGAGATGCTGGTTATCAGGTGGGGTGCCACACCTGAAGGTCTAGGACACCCCTCCCTTAGCCCAATCCAGGGGACATCTCATCTCCCAAGTTCACTAAAGGTCTGACTATACAGAAAGCCCCATTGTGTGGTCCTGGCCTGCCAGACTCATACAAAATGGCTGCGGGTACCAAAGGGGTCTTAGTGACCTTCCTAAGCTTGCTTCTGGAAGAAGCCTCATAGCAAATCCTGTGCTAAGAATCTAACCAGATAACTGGACAGGAGAGTGTCCCCTTGGCTCCCCAGTGTTACTGTCACTAGCAAAGGAATAGATATTTGGCAAAAGTAGTCACCACATCCTTTTCATGAGGAATGGCCCTGGCAGGGTCACTCTGGGAATTCTACAATAACCTATACTAACTAGCCCCTTTGGGGTGAGCACGGCCACACCCAGGGCCTACTAAGCAGTAGCACTGGCAGTCCACGAACCAGTAGGTGGGAGGAGAACCCAGTTACAGTCCAGCTAGCTGTCTATTCTCTCGTAAATGACGCTGAGCGCCCACAACCCACAAGGGTGGGTCCTTGGGTTGCCAGTTAGCAGGTTTCCACCCAGGGTCAGGTACCAACCACATGCAATACAGATAAAGTACCAGAAGAGAATATATAGAGAGGCTCAGGGAGGGCTAAGAGGGGTGAGAAGCTGAGAGAGAGTTATGGGGGGACACTGAAATACAGAGGAGCCTTTGAAATACATAGGAGCCTTATCTGCTAGACAGCCTCAGAAGAGGGCTCACCCATGGCGGGAAAGACTGCCGCAGGGTTACGTCATGCATGGAGGGGAAGCAGTAAGGCACAGGGAACTAAGCATAGGCGCAGAACTGGCAGCAGGACAAACTCTGAGGGCGGGGGAGCGGAAGGACAGTCCAAAGGGGAAAGGATGGGCATGAGAGGTTTGGGAGGCCCACAGACACCGCCCTTGCGCACCTTGCCACGCAGCACCTTCCTCCAGCCGGGCTCCCACTCGGGTGGCTCAGGCTCCGCCGCCATTCGGCAGGCAGCACACAGCGGACCACCGTCAGCGCGACACAGCAGCTGCAACGCCGCCTCCGAGGCCGGACCGTCACGCGTTGGTGCTGCTGCCGCCTCCTCAAGCGCCAGCAGGCGGCGGCTGAGAGGCGGGCGGCCGGGCTCCACAGCGCGCTGCCAACAGTCATCGGAGCACTCGGGGCAAGGGAAGGGCCCATCCTCCTCAGCCCAGAAGCGCACCACGCAAGCCCGGCAGAAGCGGTGGCCGCAGTCGGCACGCACCGGCTCACGGGGTGCGCGCTGGCACAGGGCACAGGCGGCCATGGCAGGGCCCACGGGGAGCGCCAGGGCTGCTGCGACGGGGGGCGGGGCCCTTAGGGAGTGCACGGGCGCAGGGGCCGGAGAGCACTGGCCAGAATGGGGACGAGGATGAAAAATGAGGTTGCTGTTCTACACCAGGATAAGGATGGTGACAGGGAAACGCGGGGGCGGGACCACGGGGAAAGCGGCTCACCGGGTCCTGGCAGCGGTGTAGCCACCCCGGGGTACTGTCAACGGGACACTTCACTCTCTGGCTCATTGGCCGCCCATGTCGTTGCACCCCGAAATCTTAACAGCGATTGTCACTTCCCTTATGAATGACTCATGGGCAGAGAGAGGAGCCAAGTTTTATTATTTGGAAAGCATTTAAGTCTTTTGTCAGTTGCTAGGACCTGAGCGGCAAACATCTCACCACCCTACCCCCACCACACGCAGGCGCCCTGCAAAGCACTGGCAGGGCTGGGGGAGGTGCTGAATAATGGCCTGCTGGTACTTCCCAAGAATGATGGTTCTGTATGCCCCAGCCTGATCGGGCTTTGGGGATGGACTATTTATCCCAGCTGCCCCCATGAGGACAAATCCATTGATTCAGAATGAAGGTGTCCAGGGCGTCCCAGGGCTATAGTCCATAGGATATTAGCTTTTCTTTAGGAAAAACAAAAAGGTTTCGGGGAGGAACAATCTTTTTATTTTGAACACAACCAAGTACAGAGCTTTTTGGGTTTGTTTTTGTTTGTTTGTTTTTAATCACAGTATTTACTATTACGTGATTATTAACTTTTTATAAAATGAATTTGCTATCCTATACAAGTGCACAACCAATGCAACAGGGTGGAGACCACAAACCCCCCTCATTGTTATTGTAATAACCTGCTCCTATCTCTTTGTCCTGATTAAATAAACAAAAGGCCAACTATGAAGCTTTCAGAAGCAACCTGAGGAAGTACCAGCTGACCTGATACTCCTCTAAATGAATGTGTCCTCTAAGCGAATTTGTTAGTTTTTAGAATTTAGATAATAGAATAAATAGCAGGATAGATGTATGCTGACCCAGTTCCCTTTCGCCTCAGCTTCCTCCCATCTCCGTTCCCTCCTGCTTATCGCTAACTGCCTGCGCTTCTGTACACATAGCTTGCTTGCTCTGCTACTCTTGAATAACCCCTGTCCTATATAAGCAGCCCTCCCCTTGAGCTCCCGGCTGCAGTTCTCCTCTGTGTAGGTTGGCTGCAGTCCCTGCACAGGTAATAAAGCTCCTAATATTCAAAATTACTTTGTGTCTCAGTGAGGTTGATTCTCCTGAGTTACAACAGCTATTATCATGTTAATTGTTGACTGTTAATTAGCTTGTACACCCTATGTAAAAGAAGCACGTGTCTATCATTTTACTTTTTATCCAATCCCAGAGGTTCCCTGCCCCTTATTTTCTCCTGCCTCGCTAATCTATCACCAATGGATTTTTTAAAAACATCTTTATTGTTGAATGTATCACAGATGTCCCTCTTTCTTTCCACCACTTTATTGTCCGTTTCTATTGGTTATGCATATATGCATATAAATTCTTTGGTTTCTCTCTTCCCACCCCACCACCCCCTTCCCTTAGAGGATCATCAGTCTAACTACCAATTTGTACCTCCTAATCCCTTCATTTTTTCCACCCAACTCCCCTCCCATCTGGGCAACAAACAAAATGTTCTCTGTATCTATGAGCCTGTTTCTGTTCTGCTTGCTCATTTTGTTTGTAGATTCTGTAAGGTATCTCACTGAGTAAGAAAGAGAAACAGAGCCGCAAAAGCAGGCAAGAAAATTTTATTGAAGCATTCCCAGGCGAGCTTCACTGGTCCATATGGCAGGGGCCAGGGAAGTCACTCGGTTATGGCCGCCCAGGGGACTTTTATAGGGGAGGTTGAGGAACAAAGAGGGAAAATACTTGATTCTGCATAACAAAGAGGGGAGGTATTTGATTCTGCATAATGAAGAGGGGAGGTATTTGATTGGTGGTTTTGATTTCTCCTCTGGCATCCTTTTCCCCAGTCATGTGACTCCCCAGAGCCTAAAGACCTTATGTTCCAACCTTTTGTGTTAGATAGGGGTGCCACTTTCCTGCTGGGTAGGGGCATCATGGGTCTGGAAGGTTGGTGGCCAGCGGCTCAGTTGGGAGTCCTATGTAGGGGTGAAGCAACATCTGGTTCACAGCCACTCTAGAAACCTCGCGAATGCGGTTCTGCAAAAATCTGAGGAAAAGAGGAGCAAACAGCAGTAGCAGGCAGATAACTAGGAGAGGCCCCAGGATAGGAGCTATCCATGTAAATGCTGGGGACTGCCACCACCCTGAGAAAGGGTTATCTGTAGTCTGTCTCCTACGGAGTTCATCCTGTAGACCATCTAAGATGTAGATATTTTCTTCTACTAGGCCAGTCTCATTGATGTAGTAACAGCATTGTTCTTGAAGGAAGAGGCAGGTTCCGTCTTTGTCAGCCATCAGTAGGTCCAGTGCCTGTTGGTTTTGGTGTGCCACCTGAGCAATGGAGGTGATCTGGCGCTGTAGAGAGGCTAAGAGGTAACTGACACCTCTACAACTATGCAGAGTTTTTTTTCTATCTGGGTGGCAGTGGTTATGCTGTGGCCTATGGCGCCACCCCCATGCCTGCAGCAATGAGGGAGGAGGCTAGGGAGAGACCCACTAGGACCTGGAGCAAAACCGCTCTTTTTTTCCACTGGGCTGGTGAAGATAGCAAGGAAAGGAGTATCCATCTAGACTGCATGACAGAGATTGTGTGCGAAGGGGAAAGGAGGGTGTCCTATCAATTTCTATAACCGAGACCCGAGAAGGGACTAGAGGCCTGGAGTGAGATTGCAGAACAGGGAAGGTAGCCCCTGTGTCCAGCAGGAATGAGATGGACTTACCCGCTACCTGCAGCTTTACCCCAGGCTCAGCAAGGGTGACCGAGGTCCTCGAGGGCCGTGTCAGTCCAGGAGCTCAAGCGAATGGGCTTGTTTGGTCAGCCTATCCTCTGCATGGAGGCACCAAAAATGAGCCCATTGCCCAGAGAGGGCAATTGCTCTGCCAGTGACCAGGCTATTAACAGTCTGGGCATGGTTTTGTAGGTGGCCATAGACATGGGCATTGACAGACCCAGTGGCCTTCCTTGCCATATTTGAAGCAGGCCCCTGGTGGGTTTCCCTTCACAGCCCAGAGATGTTATGTTCCTAAGGTCGGGCACCCCCTGTACCCTGCCCATACTAGGCTGCCCGCCTCAGGGCTGCCACTAGAGCCTGGGTTTGGAGGTTTACCTTCTGTTGCATTTGGGCCTGACAAGTGGCCTCAGCCTTGTCTTCCCGGGCATTAAAGACTTTAAATGCCATATTCAACAGGTCTTGGATAGGGGTCTGAGGGCCCTCTTCTGCCTTTTTAACTTTCTTTCTAGTATCTGGAGCTGACTGGAAGATAAAATGAGTAGCTAAGACTGTGGCCCCCAATACTGATGCAGGGTCCACTTAGGTGTGGACAACCATAGTCTCGGTCAGGGAGTTTAGGTATAGAGCTGGGTTCTCATCAGATTCCTGAGTGACTTCTCTCTCTCTCTTTTTTTTTTTTAAATTTTGTTACAGATGTTTCTCCTTATTTACCCCATTGACACCCTCCTCCCCATCCCCAGCTTTGTTGCACATGTCCATTGATTATGCACACATGCATATAACTTCTGTGGTTTATCTCTTCCCTCCCCCCACCACCCTCTCTTCTTAGGGTTGTCAGTCTGTATCCTACTTCCATGTTTCTGGGTCTACCCTATTCCTCAGACTGTTATGTTCATTATATTCCACAAATAAGTGAGATCATGTGGTATTTGTCTTTTTCTGCTTGGCTTCTTTCACTTAGGATAACACTTTCCAGGTCCCTCCATGTTGTCTCAAAGAATAAGAGATTTTTCTTTCTTACAGCTGCATAGTATTCCATTGTGTATATGTACCACAGCTTTTTTATCCATTCATCTACTGATGGACACTTGGGCTGTTTTCAGATCTTAGCTATTGTAAATAGTGCTGCTATGAACATGAAGAATGCATATATTCTTTCTGATTGGTGTTTCAGGCTTCTTAGGGTTTATTCCTAGAAGTGGGATCACTGGGTCAAATGGAAGTTCAATTTTAAATTTTTTAAGGTAACACCATATTGTTTTCCATAGTGGCTGCACCAGTCAGCATATTCACCAGGAGTGTACTAAAGTCCCCTTTTCTCCACACCCTTGCCAACACTTGTTTGATGATTTGTTGATGGCAGCCATTCTGACAGGTGTGAGGTGATTCCTCATTGTTGTTTTAATTTGCATCTCTCTGATGATTAATGATGTTGAGCATTTCTTTATATGTCTCTTGGCCATTTGTATGTCCCATTTGAAGAAGTGTCTATTCAGCTCCTCTGCCCATTTTTTAATTGGGATCTTTGTCTTCCTTTTGTGGAGTTGTATGAGTACTTTATATATATTGGAAATTAATCCGTTATCTGATATATCATTGGTAATTATGCTCTCCCATACAGTGGGTTGACTTTCCATTTTGATGAATGTTTCTTTTGCTGTGTAGAAGCTTTTACTTTGAGGAAATCCTATGTGTTCATTTTTTCCTTCATTTCTGTTGCCTTAGGTGATGTATCAGTGAAAATTGTGCTGCATATGATGTTCAAAATTTTGTTGCCTTCATTTTCTTCTAAGATTTTTATGGATTTGTGAGTCACATTTAAGTCCATTATCGATTTTGAGTTTATTCTTGTGTATGGTATAAGTGGATTGTCTACTTTCATTTTTTTACATGTAGCTGTCCAATTTTCCTAACACCATTTATTAAAGAGGCTGTCTTTACTCCATTGTGCGTTCTTGCCTTCTTTGTCAAATATTAATTGAGCATAGTGTCTTGAGTCCATTTCTGGGTTCTCTATTTTGTTCCACTGGTCTATATGCCTGTTCTTGTGCCAGTACCAGGCTGTTTTGATTACAGTCGCTTTGTAGTATAACCTGATATCTGGTAGTGTGATCCCACCTACTTTGTTCTTTTTCAAGAATACTGTGGCTATTCAGGGTCTTTTTTGGTTCCATATGAAATTCTGAAGTATTTGCTCTAGTTCTATGAATTACATCA